ATTTGCCGAATCAAGAGTACCCTCCAGTGTCCGAAGCGAGTTGCCAAGTTTCACTTTCCTGAGACTGGACTTAGTATAGGATGCCGTACAGTTTACGTTTTATACATGGAGCACTATCATGGTTCTAGCACAGAGATGAATGCATAATCCTGTGGTCTCATCTTCCTCAGGTTGAACCACGCGGTTCTCTAACGGGAAAAATCCCAGGGAAGTTAATCCACATTGACCCTGCACTACCAAACGATGGACGACTAACACCAAACAGGACTGCTTTCAAAGGTGAGTACTTTCAGCCACCAATACTCTACTCCCTATTTATCCTTTTGGCGTTTGTTTAGTATCAAATGTCCCCTGTAATATTAGAGTGTATTGTTCTTTTTTCCTTCCATAATTCTATCGCTACCTTTTGCTGTGAAACTGTTTTCTAAGAATTTCGATTCTTACTACAACAGTAACAGACTCTTTACTTCTTTTCATCTGTTTTTCATCTGTACGTTTGAATCACTTTGCTCTATAATATATATATATATATATATAATATATATATATATATATATATATATATATATATATATATATGTATATGTATACAAATAACATAACTACCATGCTATTTCTCTCATAATACCCTCTTCTCTTTTTCTCACATCCCTCTCCTATTTCCAGTAATTACGCCCTTATGCCTGTTTTAACGGTTTCATCTTATCATCCTTTATACCCTTTTGCAAGATAGTTGCAGTTGAACTTTTATTTTGCATATCTGTCCTTGTTACAATACCTTTAGACAATGTACGTGTGCGTGTCGTCCTTACCACCTCGCTCTCCTATCAGACGACTACCAGTACCGCACCGTGACGGCCCTCGAGGGAATCCAGCACCTCCTGCAGGACCGCCTCAACGACGACCTCTCCTCCTCCTCCTCCTCCTCCATCCACCGCATGGAGTGGCATTACGTATGTGTGGTCGCCGACAAGCTGTTCTTCATGGTGTTCCTGATCATGTTCATCATCTTCAACTTCATCATCCTGCTCGCGTCGCCCCACAAGGCCGCCTTCCAGTACTGCCCCGAAGGCCCCGGGACGTGTCCCGAAGGATGGGACGCGGACTTCTACGGCGCCCAGATCGAGGCGGGCGAAGGACTCGATCTGGACTACTCCCACGGGGCGGCAACCTTCGAGATTGTGTCCGGCGGCAGTCACTGAGAGCAGAAAAAATGGACCGAAGCAGCCAGCGATTAAAAGTGTAATTGTAGTAATTACTGTCACGTGATAAAGTACAATGACAGTATTAATCAACGTTACCGATGCCAGTGATGGTATGGAGAAGCATGGACTTCGATTCAAGTTGTAATTATAGTGATTTTCGTCACATGATTAAGTACATCAACAGTGTGAATCAACATAATCTATACTAGTGATGGCATTAAGAATCATGGACTTACGATTAAAGATGTTATTATGGTGATTATTCTCATTTGATTAAGTGCCATATTGGTAATTATCAACACTAACGTTACTAGTGTTGATATTAGTAAACAGAAAGCTCTTATTGCAGCGTTATTATGATATGATTAATAGAGCGACAGTAATAATAAACACCAATAACGATACTCCTGATCAATAAACAGTTAATTTTGTACCATGTAGTACTCGATTACAGGTGTACTTTTATACATAAGTATGTACAGTACAAACAAGAGGTTATATGCACCGATGTAATATGTATGTTAGTATTATATTTTCTAATATTTTCTCCTCACAATCTTACGCTATACTTCCAAAGAAATTATATAATTTATCATATTATCAAGGCTATTAATCACATGAAATAAGTATTTAAAAACTCTTACTTTGGTAATGCACTAAACACAATCTGTGATAGAAATATATTTACTATACATAATGGTCAGCCTATTGCATTTATTATCACTTCACATTATTGCCAAATATATACAAAAAAAATAAAAAATAAATTGAAAAAAGTACAAACAATAGCAAATGTTTATTGATTCCTTGGTTTGTCTAGAAGTTATCATCTGTTCTATACATATATGTGCACACACACACACACACACACACACACACACACACACACACACACACACACACACACACACACACACAGACACACATCTATAAATATATGAATGAAGATGATTAATCTCGATATTAATATGAATTATTAAGATTTCTTTATGAAAATACTTGCATTCTTCATATCGATAAGGTGCTCAGTCATTCGTATATCATCCTTCAAGCTAAGAAAGGAAACATCTTTTTATTTGAAATCATTTATTGAAACAAAATAATGAAATCTACTAAAATGAGCATACAAAAAATCAAAAATATTAAAATAGGAATACTCAAAGAAACAAAGAATCTTATATAAAACCTTAAAATCGATACATTTTGAGATGTGGCGATACCTGACGGTCACAATAACACACAACAATGGGAGTTGTGTTTAGCTTAACCAATAACCAACGTAAACGAAACACATATTTCGCTCATGCATCCCTAATTCTTACCTGAGTGACACTTTGTTTCGACCTTGTCCTCTCTTCTACTGCTTGTGCTCTCGCCCTCTCAACAGGCCTTTCGAAAAGTCACGCGGACAATTTGGAAACATATTTGATATACTTTTATAGTTCATAAAACCCGAAAAAAAAACATATCTTCACCACTGCACAAACAACCAAAGACTATAATATAACATTCTATGACCTAACACGAATGCACCAAACTTTTCAGAGACCACGAAACAAGTACAGGGAAACTTAACTTAAACGCATGTACAAAAAATCAATATATATAAATATGTATTATACCAACAATCTTTAAATATAAACAAGGCGCATTCTTTGAAGAGAAACGCGAGTGAGCTATGGTTTGGTTTGGTTTTCTTTGACTTGCCGAATTCCCAACATCTAGCTTGTTATCAATGTAAACAAACTTCAGCAAAGAGACAACTCCTTCCCCTCTATTGTGTGTGACAGAACTGTTCGCGGAAGAAAACAGACTGTGCTCTGTTAGCAATGGTAAAATTTTAAAAATTGATTCAAATATTATGTAGCATAAACGCTATTATTATCTAAAGAAGAAGAAAAACCTCCACACCCTTAAGAGAAACAATTTAATAGGATATCTGCTATTCATAGCAAAGATTGGTCTTTCATAATGAGAAATAATAAAGGTAAATAAAACACTCTTTGAACATTTACGGGATGATCATAATGCAGTTATACTTATCTTTTTGAGAATAATAAAGCAATCAGTATACGCTGGTCCGTACAGATGGGCTAACAACTTGATGATTTATAATATCCTCTATTGGCGGAAAATTAAGTAAATTATCAAGAGAAATTCATCGTTATGACTCATTTCTGCTGGCCGTGCTTGGGGTTTGTTTACTATTGTGACGTCATAAAACTGTAACAAGATTTTTCAAGAAATCTTGAAATATCTGTTCTTTAATTCTTTAAGAATTAATGAACAAAGACGTGATGTCAGATACGCCAGAGAATCTAATACTTGTTTTATTCATTTACGGGACGAAGGACACCAGTTAATTTGGAAAGACGCCAAATTAATTCATAGATCGTCAAATTCGTACGAGAGAAAAAAATAAAAGCCGTTTTCATTAGAAAATTGCCCAAATTTCAACTTGAGTGCTGGCCAATGGGGGTTAGATGACATTACTTCATCACTTGTTAGCAAAGCCTTCCCCAGTCTCTTCGACCTAGGTAGTGATAGGAACATAATCGAGTTTTTACTTAGATGCATATTACAGATACTGAGATAGATACAGTATTTTTTCCTTGACCCTCTCCCTGAGACCTTGTTCAGATCTTGTTCATTCTGTGTCTCTACCACTATATAAACTTGTCAAAATTCTCTCCTGGAATCCATTTCGGTTTTTGTCTTAAGAGGAACTCGTGAAGAGTTCGAAACGTCACGCTTATTTTCAATTATTGTGGCTAATTTCATTTTCATTTTTGTGTACACGTGATTGTGTTTGTGCTTGTGTTCATATATATATATATATATATATATATATATATATATATATATATATATATATATATATATATATATATACATATATATACATATATATACATATATATACATATATATATATATATATATATATTTATATATATATATATATATATTATATATATATATATATATATATATAATATATATATATATATATATATATATGTATATATATATATATATATGTATATATATATATATATATATATATATTATATATATATATATATATATATATATATATAATATATATATATATATATTATATATATATATATATATATATATATATATATATATATATATATATATATATATATATATATATATATATATATATATATATATATATATATATATATATATATATATAATGTGTGTGTGTGTGTGTGTGTGTGTTGTGTGTGTGTGTCTGTGTGTGTGTGTGTGTGTGCGTGTGTGTATCACTACTGTATAGGTAGTGATAGGAACATAATCCGAGTTTTTGCTTAGATGCATATAAAGAAGGTTTTTGTATTTGACCTTCCAGTGAATATTTAAAGCAACTTATTGAAGTTTTATGATTCGTCAAAAAAATGTTCAATATCACTCACCTGTATCATGTCGGAAGTCAACAGATATCGCCTTCCTTAAGTAACGGCACGTCTGGCTGGCATGTGAGGTATTTAGTACAGCTTCTGGTGCCAACGCGGTCGCTTGTCATAAAACTGGTGGGAAGTACGGCCGGACCCCCTTGGAGCTGAATGGTGAGCTTGATGTTGTAGTGCGATTTCTTAGTTATCGTTGAATGGAGTCAATGGCCTGTCTCTCGCTCGCTTTCCTTACTTCCAGGAGACCAGGACTTGCATCGTTCTAGGAGCGGCGGCAGCATCGATTTTGATGCTGGCTCTTTCTCTCTTCTATTTCAACTACCGTCGGCGTCCCGAACGTCGCCGGAGGATGGCGTGCGTGGCGCTGAGGACGTGCCTCGTGTGCCCGGCGGTTGACGGCGCCGACGAGCCGAGCCTGAGGGCGAGCACCCGCCAGGCCTTCCAGAGCCCCGGCCGCGAGCGCCCTCCGTCGCCCCTGCCGCGCCAAGGGCCGGATCCCATGGTCGAGTTCTTCCGGTCGCCCCCGATCGCCCAGCCGACCCGCGTTCCATCGCCGCCGCAAGAGACTCCCCCGCGCAGGAGAGCAAAGGGGCGCCGACGCCGCAAGGCCCACCGCAGGAGCGCCCACCCGTCGCCAGGAGGAAGTCGCTGGTGGGCGTGTGCGCAGAGGCGCCCACCGCGAGCGGCGGCGGCGAAGGCACCGCAGCCGAAAAGGAATGTCGAGCCGACGCCACCGCCAGGCGCGCCGACAGAGGAGAGAACGACTACGCCCGCGGGCGGGGGTCGCGACGCCCCGAGAGCAGAGCGTTTCGGAAAGGAAGCGGCCGGCGGAGGCCAGTCAGGAGAGGCAGTTCGGTCCTTCTAGAGGCCTTCCCACGAAGGACGCCCAAGCCCCCGAAGCAAAAGCATTCCGCAGAGCCCCTTGGCTCGCCGACCTCATCCTGCGCCAGTCAGCGGGAGATCCTGACTCCTCCTTCGCCTCCGCTCAGCCCAGCTGGCGAAGGACACCCCCCCTGCCTCCCCCCCGGTCCTTCAGCCTCCGCGCCGCCCCCGACGCCCGCCATCAGCCCGAGGGAGATGGTCAGCCTCCTGGAGCAGCAGGCGGCCGCGTCCTTCCCCGTGCCGTGGGCCGTGGGCAGCGCCGTGGCCCGAGCGAGCACAGGGGCAGGCTGCACCCGGGACTGTGCCTCCCTCGGGGGTCAGAGCCGCTCACGGCGGACGACGCGGGGGAGGACCTCGCAGGTCAAGGAGCAAGGGCAAGGAAGGTCAAAGCAGGCCGTTCACCCCACCCACGCCTGAGCTCACCCAACGTGGGGTCAAAGTAAGAAATGAAGAAAAAGTAAATATGAAGGACTAAACCTCAGCTTTTCAAATGAATGTGTAGATGGGAAAAAGTGACCCAGACGTATTAACCTGAAACCGTTGTTAAAATCTTCTAAATCATAGGTAAATAGTACTATATTTCTTGTTTTATCTGCGCTTATTAAATTTGAAAAACAACGGTAGAAACGATGGATGAATGTAAGAAATTGAAATAGACATTATTGCCAAATTGTATTAAGTGATATTCAGAAAATCTTGGTGCGATATGTGTATAATGAAATATGTATATACATATAAACACACACACACACACACACACACACACACACACACACACACACACACACACACACACACACACACACACACACAATATATATATATATATATGTGTGTGTGTGTGTGTGTGTGTGCATATATATATATATATGTATATTATATATATATATATATATATATATATATATATATATATATATATATATATATATATATATATATATATATATATATATATATATATATATATATATATATATGTATGTATATGTAGACACTGTGTGTGTATATATATACAAGAATAAGGTATCCGCATACTGATAACTCCTCAGTAAACTACATCTAAAAACGTGTATTTAATATCAAACCAAAACGTCATCTTGTGCACATTAAATGAGCCACAATCACAGTATGAAAATAAGACCGGTGTCTTCATCAGAACCGAAGTCGATACCGTAATTAAAGTTATTAATTAAGTAATTACGTATCATAACAGTTAGACTGGGCCATAGCATTCCTCTTGGTTTGCTGTAAGAACCTATATAACGTAGATGGTGAGAGATGTATACATATAGCAGATTGACAGGTCTGTAGGATGGATTTCTTAGGATGGGTGAGATCCTATGTAATCTAAATAATGAAGTGTAAAAGAGCACGAATTTTACTCCTTTGCTGAGGGGAGTCTAAGAACCCAGGGGCGTCCTTGGAGAAGAGGCTGGCGGAAGCGAGGACCATCTCAGGAAGGGCGGTGACGAGATGCAGGGGGGGCGTCTGCACAAGGAGAAGCCTGACTCGAACTTTTGTAACCTCTCTTGAACTCTGAAGAGGTCAGTGTCGTGTGGCGAAGTGTTGGTCGTAGCAAAGTCTATATGAATTATATTTCATATGTCTTAAACGAGCTTTTTTGGGGATCGAAGCGTCGCCATGTGATCACTGCGAGGGTTAAAAAGCTTGACTGGAGTGACAAACGCATCTTTTAAGCACACACGAGGCTTGAGTATTAGCAACAAACAGATATGAATCAAAATGAATCTGAATCAAAATCACAGGAGCCGAATTCAAATCAAATAATCACAAAAAAAAGAGAATAGGTAAGATCATCCATCTTATACTGACCGGCAATTAGGTTAGAATGTATTTTCTGAATATCTGCATATTTTCTTTTATAGAATTCGGCGATTTAAGGACTCCCCTAGCTTTATTCTAGTCCATATTGCACGCGAATGAAATGCACATCAGATACTCAGCAATGCAATGAGCCAGAATAGGAATTTTGTTTGTTTCAAAAGAAATGAGCATTGTGCTTCTTGAAAAAAAGCAACATGCACATGTTTATCATCAGCCCGGAAGCCAACTGATACCATGTTTCCGAGTCAACATTAGACAGCACATTTTTTTTTTTTTTTTACATATACCAGGGCTCTCCCAAATATTAAGGAGAACGTTACTGGCATCTTGTATTTTTCTGTTAGTTTTCTTATTTTAACATTGACTTTTTTCCCTCTTTTTTCTAGCGAACTGTTTTCGCTCTCCCTAGTGACCGCCATTCCCGCCCTTGCGCCTCTTTTCCTCCTCCCTAGCATCCTCACTGATCTTCCTTTTGGCATCTGGGGTGATTTTCGACCTGCTCCGGACGCTGTGGTAACCTCCTACCTTGGAAATTTCTTGTACAATGACCTCGTGCATGCGACATGTCTGTAATTCTCCCGACATACGGATTAGGATAGCCGAACTACGTGTACTATCTGCCCTCCAGGTGCTTGGCCAATCCATCTGTGTGCTTGCTTTTACCGCAGTCTGGCAGACAAGATATGTAGGAGGGGAGGCAGACAGCAAGCAGTGACGGCCGCCCATGAGTGAACACGGTTATGTATAGGAACATAGTGTTGTACCTTGTGATTATTGATCTCTACTGAGGCTTCTAGACACTCGAAAAGCTTTTCCTTCTGATGACAGCGATGTTCGCACGTTTTTTTTTTCTCTCTCTTTTCTTTTTATTTAATTTTTATTCATTCCTTTATTTTTGTGACTGCCACTTCAGCGCCTTCTATGAGATATGATTTATTTCGTGTTGTGGTATACACTTATTTCCTTTTGATTCTGCAGATTATTGTTCAAGTATCAAGTTCCTAGATATTATTATGGCAATCGATCCTCGTGATAACAACAGCCACGTGGATGTAAAAGCCAAAGCATACTAAAAAGTAATAATTGAAAGTAGAAATATAAATATATTTGTCAAAACAAATATAGAACAAAAAATTATGGAAATCTAAAAGCGCAAAGTACACACAAGGTACTAAAACATGAATAATAAAATACTTTAAAGGTTAAATCACAACAAATACATCACTAAAAGGTTACAAAAAGTCAAAAGCAACGATACAAAACAAAGAGAACCATGTATTTCTTAACCCATTTGCTTGATATTTTTGCTTGATGTACCAATGACACTTAAGTGCATGGTCAGCGCACAAACTCACACTGGTTGCTGCGTTGTGGCTGATTCTGACGCCTTGTCTTGTGCCACGACCACCGTCAGTGTTCGGGGAAGGCTAGGTCAGTAGCAACTCGAGGAGGTCATGGCGTCTGATTCTATTTTTGGAAAAAGCACATTTAGATGACGTCACAAAAGTTACGGATGCTTTGTGAACATGATAGATGATTTTGGTCTCTTCATTTTTCAAAAAGAATGGAAAATGATTATTTAAATGGTTATATTTTCACTGAACAATCATAGAAATAGCCGTTTGGGATGCTATGACACCTCCTCGAGTTGCTATTGATCTAGCTTTCTCCGTCAATGTTCATCCATAAGGTTCACCTGGTCTTCTCTGTCTTGGGATCCTTAGCCAGCTGACCAATCAAAAGCTGTAGCTGACCAGACTCCGCCGAGGCTGACTAGGGATCCCAGGGCAGAGAAGACTAGTGTGACCTTTAGCTTACAGTTGTTGACTTCCGCTACAGCTTCGCGGACGCCCGGGAGGATGGAGAGGAGAGGAGGAAGCTGCATCCGAGCGGTATCTTCTCGAGAGATTAAACTCAAACCACATGGCACGAAGAGAGGGCCACGTGACTTCCGCCTTGAATTATTTGAAGGTCAAAGAGTATTTCCTTTGGCTAATAGTACCTATGTGTCGCTCATTCTTCTTACTTTTACTCTAGCATAACTTTATCTTTATTTTCTTCAATATAGATTTATCTTAATCTACGTCAGCATGATTTCACCTTTATTTACTTCAACATGGCTCTATCTTCATCTTCTTCAACATGATTTTATCTTTATATGCTTCAACATTGCTTTATCTTTATCTGCTTCAATATGACTTTATATTTATCTGCATCAATATGGACATATCTTTATCTACTTCAACATGGCTTTATCTTTATCTACTTCAACATGGATATATCTTTGTATACTTCAACATGGATTTATCTCTGTTTACTTCAACATGGCTTCATTTTTATCTACTCCCGTCCCGCTAACACTCACACAAAATAGATATTCCTCTTCCTTGTACACACAAGACGCCAGCATTCTCCTGACTAGACTCGCCAGTCACTTTCCCTATTCATCTTCTTTTCATATCAAACCAAAGTCTTTCCACGTGCTCTATATCTTATTGGTGGATCTTCCGGTACTTGAATCTAAGATCTCATGCTGTCGTACAGGTGATAATGAAATTGAAGTCTAGATTTTTTCTTTTCTTTCATCATCCTATGACTGGAAAATGGTTTTTTGTACTTCGTTTTATTCATGACTAGAGGAAAAATAAAATAAAATGGAGGAGGTGAAGGAGAGGAAGAGGCGGGAGAAGGAGTAAAAAGTATAGCAAATAGGGGAGATGAAGGAGAAGAGGCGGGAGAAGGAGGAAAAAGAAAAGAAAATATAGGAGGTGAAGGAGAGAAAGAGGCGGGAGTAGGAGGGAAAAATGCGAAGGGAAAAGAAGAGAAGGATTTTCACTTTTTGCATGTGTAATGGATGATTTATTTGACACTGACACACAAGTTATTCTAACAATGACTAAAACTACTAGAAAATTTTTGTAAGTTATTCTGAAAAGGGGTTAAGGGGCGCTTAGCAATAACTAAATTACTGAAAGACTCACTTCGACCATTCGCTTTTAACCCGCAATTTTCCTGATACTTATCCTGCTCTTCCAAGATATCAAGGACGAGATCGTAGCCGGTATCGTTCGCGAAGGAAATGAGTGAAAGGTTCGTTCGAATCACGACGAGAGCGTTTAGAGAGAGAGAGAGAGAGAGAGAGAGAGAGAGAGAGAGAGAGAGAGAGAGAGAGAGAGAGAGAGAGAGAGAGAGAGAGAGAGAGAGAGAGAGAGAGAGAGAGAGAGAGAGAGAGAGAGAGAGAGAGAGAGAGAGAGAGAGAGAGAGAGAGAGAGAGAGAGAGAGAGAGAGAGAGAGAGAGAGAGAGAGAGAGAAGAACAGTATCGCCCGGAAATCGGTGTTGGGCGTCATTTTAGATTTATCATAATTATATATCGATTGATAATTTTCCCGTTACTATAACTATCAATATATCTTTTAAAAAAGATGCGATCTATGAATATATATCACTTATAGGACAGTTACCCAAGGTAAAAATGAGAGAAAACGACCACGCTTTCTTAAAGCAGGGACTTGAAGAAATGTAAATGCTGTAGAGAAATCACAGATAATATCTATATGTATACAATCAT